CCAATAGGAAATAAAAAGCGCAAAAAGCGGGAGACACAGAAATTAATTGGACACCGAACGGAGAAGCGTGTCGGGGGATATTGGCTGGGAGGTGAAACCCGATCCCAGACCATGTCATACAGCGTTGTGACAGTTGTCAAATGGTAATGGCAAAATACACCTTGCCGTCCGAGATCCGAAATGAAAAACGCCAAAAAATCGGTGCTCCGAAATTAGGCAGCCAAGCAGACAGAGAGACAGAGAGACACCGGGCACATTTGTAGCGAGCATATGACAGCAAATGCCTGTCCAACGAATACTTTTGGAGATTGATGGCTTTGCTTAAGACCAGTAGCCCAAGTTGCCACCACCCTGCCCCGATTCCGATTTTGATTTCTATTTCGATTTCGATTTCGATTTCGGCTGCGAGATGGAAACGGGTCTGGCAGGATGGAGCGTACTCGCAGCGTACAATTCAATTTTCCCAATTGCCTCGCATTTGTTTCTTTGCAAATTGCCAAACATTTTTTGGACATTTTCGATTTTCGGCTGGGAGTTACGAGATCGCCCCAGACTCGCCTCGATTGGCATGTGTCTCTGCTTTGGGAAGGTTTCAGCTCGGCTCAGACTCTGTGATCGGTTTAATTAGCCCGGCCACAATGGCCACTGCCACAAAGGCCCAAAACTACAAGACGGCCGAGCAAATGAAGCGAAATTCAATTTGGGACACTTGCTAAGTCAAATAATTGCAGATCTTAAGAATAATACAACAGTATAATTGTTTTAATATACGACAAATCGATCTTAAATATGTGGTCAACTTGTTTGAAATTATCTTCAAAGACAAGCTTCTTGGAAAACTATTGAGGTAATTAACTTTAACTAAATTGATTTAGCTTGAGAGTATTAATTATATAAGTTATTCTTACACTAGTGTAATCTATGAATTGAAAGTATCATGTCAACTGAACCATTCAACTTTAATAAGAATATTAAACATATTTTGTCCTCTTAAATGATATTGTATGGGAAAGCTCAGGATATATCATATGTAGTTAAACAAATGCCTAAAGTGTTTAGTGTTCTTTACGGTAATCAGGTGCAAAACTATACCAGAAAGTGTTATTATTTTATTGACTAATTCTTTTAGGGGAAATCATATAAAAATTATATGAAAACTATAAACATCAAATAAATTTATTTTCTTATTATTATAAATATTAGCTGTCACAAAAATCACCATCAAAATTCTCTAAACTTTAAAAAAACCTACTCATCTACATTTAAACATTAACTAATCCCTTAATTTGTCATTAAATATGACTTTTAATTGCTCAATGTTCAAATGGTTGATTTGCATTTGTGGACATTTGCACGACTTTCACTCAAAGTGAAAGTTTTCTCTCTTAATAACTTTCGCTCATGATTGCAAACCGCCAAAAAGTGCAGGTCGATGCAAGTAAATGCCAGATTTTGTGACATTTTAGTGCAAACACTTACAAAGAACCGCATGGTGAGTACAACTTATTTAAATTATGCTACGGAAAACACGTCACTGGTAACAGATCACTGATCACTGATCACTGGAAAAACGCGCTGCAAACGCTCCTCGTCGAACCGCTGCCGTTGCCTCAATGTCAAGGACAAAAACGTAATTAAAGCGTTGGCGAGGCATTGCCAAAGTATTTATAGATGAAGACGAAGACCGGCACACAGAGCTCAGCATCGGTTTCGTTTTCCCGGCAACGAGATTTTCCGGCTTCACCGGTTCCACTTCCACTTCCACTTCCAGTCCCCAGCGGCCACATCCAGCCATCCGAGAGACGCAACCAACTGCGATGAGCACCGCATTGCACACCGCAGATTGCACACCGAAGATTGCGGAGCGTGGATCGCAGCTGGGCTGCTTTGTCGCTTCCTAAGCTCGGTCTAATTGACAATTACTCGCGGCTCGGAGAGCTCTTCGCCTGGCCACTGATACCGCCGCGGTATCTGGCCAAACATACATACATATGTACACATATCCAGGCAGCGCCGACTGCCCGATTTGGACGGACCGACTTTTGGTTTCAGGCGCCGCCGTGCGGCAAGTAAAAGTAGTCGGCGACGCGACGCGACGATCCGTTGCAGCTGTCTAATGGCATTATAAAATTTATATCTGCCAGCATTACGTTTCGACTTTACATAAATTAATGGCGATTTGCTTTGCGAATGTGTCGTGTCTCCACTTTGCCAGTTAATCCTAGTAATCCGTATTAAAATCAAGTGGTGCGGACCACCACAGACATCGGTGGTGCAAATTATAAAGCTTGGGAAAATTTCCCAGAAGCTTACGTTTTATGTGAGCGAAAAAACTTTATATCCATACTTTATGCTACTTTGTATTGCTGTAAAACCTTTAAAATTAAGATTTTCACAGTTATTTGTTTTTAAAACAAAATACAGGATTTAATTGAATAGTTATTGAAATTGTCTTAAATATAAGTCCTAAAATTCAACGTGCTATTGAATGAAAAGCCTGGAAAAAGGTATTTAAAAGTAATACCAATAAAACACTAAAGCATGTTTCGATCTTCCTTTGCGAAAATCTAATTCAGAAACCTATCAATTAGATTTTAACACCTTTAACTTTGAATGTTATCCCAATATTCAAGTTTGAGAATTTTTAGGTATACTCTTTGCATCAATTTTGGCTTTACTAAAGTTTGGAATTTATCTATACTATTATATAAAGAGGTAATGTAAGTTTGTTTGTATGTATTGAATAGGCTCCGAAAGTACTTGGCAGATTTGAAAAATTCTTTCACTGTTGGAAAGCTACATCATTCCTGAGTGTTATAGGCTATATTTCATTTAAAAAAAAAAATAGGCATCCTTACTAAATTAAGATAACGTAATCCAAGGTGTTAAAAAAATATCAAAAATCTACCTTACATCTACCGCCCTCTACAGGCAGACAAAGCATTTCCTGTCAAACATTCAAAACATATTGAAATAAGGAATTGGAGATACAAATTTTATTTTTTTGTTCAGGTTCAGTAAGAAACGAAGTCATGCCACCCAAGAAGTCGAGTTTGGGTCGTCGTACTCGCAATACAAAAGCAAACAGACGTAAGATTACGAATATGAGTGACGAAGAACGGGCCTCCACAGAGAGAGACGCAATGTCGTTATTGGCCGGATGCATCAGGTCTGCATATACTGTCAGGCTCCTTCGATTGAATCAGACGAAACTTCGGTCCGAGGAATATATCCATTTGCGGGATGCTGTGATGAATGACCGTAATACAACCAACGTTGGAAAGCTCACGATTTTGCCATCCTCATACATAGGTAGTCCACGCCAAATGCATGAATATGCTCAAGATGCCATGGCATATGTTCGTTGCTACGGCCGTCCAGACTTATTTATCACCTTCACATGCAATCCAGCTTGGGATGGCAGAAGAGAGGATTGCCGCATGCGCACATACTGATTTGGCTGCATGATAAAATTACTCCAGACGAAATCGACGATGTTATATGCGCTGAGATTCCATGGGCCGAGGTTGATACGGATTTGCATGAAGTTGTCATCAAGAACATGATCCATGGCCCATGTGGTACCCTCAACCCATGTTCACCATGCATGGTAGACGGGAAGTGTTTCAAGGGATATCCTCGAGCATTTACAGCCAACACCGTAACAGGGGACGATGGATATCCTTTGTATAGGAGACGGTCAACTGAAGATGGAGGGACTTCGGCAAATTTAAACATGAGAATTGGTGATATTGAGGTAGACAATCGTTGGGTGGTTCCATACTCAACACTATTGTCAAAATCATACAAGCGCACATCAACGTAGAATATTGCAATTCCGTGAAATCGATTAAATATATCTGCAAGTACGTGAATAAAGGCAGCGATATGGCAGCTTTTGGTGTTCAGGCAGTAAATGGTGACAACAATGCAGTACGAGTTCTCGATGAAATATCTCAATACCAGGCTGGAAGATACATAAGCAGCAACGAGGCTGCATGGAGAATTTTTTCATTCCACATTCATGAACGCTATCCAGCTTTAGTTCACTTGGCAGTCCATTAGGAGAATGGTCAACGTGTCTATTTCACAGAAAGAAATGTGCAAGAAAGAGTCCTGAATCCGCCAGCGACAACTCTGACTGCCTTCTTCACCTTATGCCAGGAAGATGATTTTGCCAGAACCTTGATTTATTCAGAAGTGCCCTCTTAACCATAATATGCCCAGCAGGTGGTCAACTAGCTCATATACCGAGGATACCGATGATCCAAAATGATATGACAGTCCCATTTAAACGGCTTCAATTTCCGGTAAAAACATCTTTCGCATTAACAATTAACAAGTCACAAGGCAAAACCTTCGAATTAGTATGGATTGATCTGCGAAAGAAATGTTTTAATCATGGTCAACTGTATGTTGGTCTATCGCGAGTCGGAGCCAATGAAAATCAATTTATTTTGCTGCCACAAAATAAAACATCAAATATTGTTTACAGAGAAGCTCTAACAAAATAAATGTATTTTCTTTTAGGGTTATGACCTCAATAATTGAAAAAAAAAAAAATTAATAAAGGATGAATATGTGTCATATTATTATTATTATTATGAATGTATTAAAATTGACAAATCTAAATGTAATGTTTAATGCCGTGCGAAGCCGGGACGGGCTGCTAGTATTTAATATGTTAGGTGTATCATACATTGTCTCATGATTCATGGAAGTTATGTTTTGTCAAATAATTCAAAATGTAATACTTCAAGCACAAAAGAGTTGCTTTTTAAAGCAATCATTTTGCTTCCCTTGAACATCGCTTGTCAGCCTCCCAACATGCCACAAGGATCAATTTGAATAAACTTATGCTTATGTATTTTAATATAAATACAATTTAAGATAAAGTGAAATACTATATTCGTTTGCTTTTCTCAGGTAAATAATTTGCATCCTTAAATACTTGTTCCATGTCGCTTTCGAACAGTCAGTCCACATCAGAGGTCCTTGAATCAGTGCAGTTGCTTCACGCTCACATAGCTGCTGGCATGCCCATGGCCGCCGTGTCCATAGCCTCCGTAGTGTGCCACATCGATGGGTCCATAGCCGTAGTTGGCTCCGTAGACATCGCCGTGTCCGTAGCTCTTTTGGTAGATCTGGGGATGGTGGGCATGTCCCAGCTTCTTCACCACAGCATTGAAGCCGTTGTGGTCGTCGGCGGTGTACTCCACCACCCGAGTGGTGCCATCGGATTCCTTGAGGGAGTAGCTGCCCTTGACCTTGTCGCCATCCCGGGTCTCCCACTGGCTCTTATGGTCTCCGGTATGGGCGTCCTTGACGCCGTAGTCAAAGTGGTACTTGGGATAGTGGTGGGGTTCGTGCTTCTCGTAGCCGTGGCCGTATCCCGCATATGCCTGGCTGGGATAACCGTGTCCGTAGATTCCGCCATAGGTACTGATCACATCGTGGTCGTATCCATACCCATGGCTCTTATGGACGGGCTCCTCGTGCTTGACCACCGAGCTGTAGCTGGTGGCATGTCCTCCATGGGGGGCCGCCACTCCGACGCCCACTAACACGGCGAATATCAGACCTCCGCTAAAGGATTTCATTGTGGCCACTGCAATAGGTGTTCTTCAATTGGAACTCTGACTAAGTCTGCTGGTTCTAAGAGGGCTCACTTACACATTTTATAGCTGTCCAAAAGTCTGGGGCAATCAACCATCGGACAGTCGTTCTCTTGGCCAAACCATTCACCATTCGTGCTAGCTGATTTGTTAATTACCCCAATAATTCATAATTATTATTATTGTATTCGGCCATTGAGCTCTATAGAAAATCGAATTCGTTTACAATTAAATTCTGCTGAAAGTAATTAATTATAACACAAATGAAACGGTGCATACAAGTTCATTATTGCTTCGATACGTTTGCACTGGAGTTCAAGAGAAGGGCGAGTCTGAGTCTAAGAACTCGATTGCTCAAAAGGGCAAAAACCCAAGCACCACAGCAACTAGGAAATGTTGTACATTAAAACTAGAACTAGAAGGTCGTTGAAAAAATTCAAAAATAATTTTGAAATTATGAACTTTCCACACCAAGAATTTTAATTTAAAATTGTACGGCCATTAATTAATCCAAAATATGATTCATGGTTCGTGGTGAATCAATAAAAGTCTGGTTATGGTATTAAATATTAGCTAGAACGTAATTGAAGAGTGTTAAGACCATTTCATAAATATAATATCAAAACTAGCCTCTATCTTTAACTCAAACTAAATAATATTAAATTACATCACTGATAATTGCAATGAGTTATTCGCAGTTTAAAGACCTCGCGGATTGCACAACTGTACTGTTTACCTTATTTTTTTAATCAATATTATATAGTCAGACTATGATATTAATACTATATAATTATGATTGCAGATTTGAGGCTATATGCAACTCTATTCATGTATATTGCTTTTATGTCTTGATTCCTAAGCTTGGTAATATATTTTGACTGAAGACGCTCATGTTATTAAATCAATTAAATTTAAGAATTTCCTAATAGACAGCCATTCTTGTTTATATTGCTTTATTCCACATAGCCAAACCTCTCACCTTGTTAATTTTAAATATTTAGAAAACTAATCTGAGCAATTCGGAAGCGTTAGTTGCCCCAAAACGGCCCCGGGTCGAAGCACCGACCGATTGGACGTTCCGCCCAGCGCCACGCCACGCCTTCTCCCCCCCGTGTCAGCCGGCTCAAGGTCATTCGGAGTGAAGTCGGCGGAGTAGGGGAGGAGAATCGAAGAAACGCAGCGAGCCGAGGCGGCTATGGCTAAGTAATTTGAAAGCGGGCCACACTTGTTGATTGATTTCTAAGCTCCAAAAGCAACAACAAGTGTTGCGTTTTTTACTTTGTTTTGTTTTATTTTGCCTGCTGGGCGGTGTTCACGCCCCGCTTATTCAAGTTGTTGCTTTTTATTCCGAGTTTTTGATTTTTCGAGCCACATTTAATTTGCCAATCGCCCCGCCAAGATTATGAATACGAATGAATGGGGAAAAATGAAAATTTGCGAAAAAATTCCAAGTATTTTTTCATGCCCGATTTTTTGGGGGGCTCTTACTTTTTTTCTAGCCTATTTAGCCTCGAGAGTAAAGTGTAATTAATCGATCCGTAGAATGGGCTGAAGTATAAAAGCGTTAGACAATGTCTAGTGATTATCACAGTTCCCATTGCGATTTAGGCCAAGCAAGTCGATCGGAAATCAACGAAAATGGCTCACAAACTGACCATCCTTTGCTGCGCTCTCCTGGGTGTGGCCGCCGCTAGCTACATCCCCCATGGTGGCTATGAGCATGGACACGGACACGGACACGGAATCGGTTACAGCATTCAGACGCACCATGAGGCGCCCAAGAAGTGGCAGGACCATCACCAGGAGCACCACCACTGGGCAGAGGCTCCCAAGGCCCACCAGTGGGAGCCAAGTCACGACACTCAGCACACCCAGCACCATTGGGCGCCAGTTGCTGCGCACGACAACCACCATGAGTGGAGTCATCATCATGAGGAGCCCAAGCACCACCCCAAGTACGAGTTCGACTATGGCGTGAAGGACACCAAAACCGGTGACATCAAGCAGCAGTGGGAGACCAGAGACGGCGACAAGGTCAAGGGTGGCTACACCATGAAGGAGGCCGACGGTCGCACCAGGATCGTTGAGTACACCGCTGACGCCCACAATGGATTCCAGGCCACCGTGAAGCATGTCGGACATGCTGAGCACTTCGAGCACAAGCAGCACGGTCATGGCCATGGATACGATCACGGACATGGACACGCCACCAGCTACGTGGATGTGAAGCAGGACACCAGCAGCAAGGGGCAGGATGCGAGCAGCAAGTGGTGGTAAAGGATATCACTCAGGCGACTGTACTACTACCTGAGAGCATAGCGGATATCAGTGATGTAAAGCCAATGATAATCCAATGTTTATGTTCCAACGACTCAAACTAAATACTTGTAAATAGACACAAAAAGGCGACAATTAGTTGTAGGCAAATAAAGCGAAGCAAAGAGCAGGAAATGCATTGAAATATAAAATATAAATGTGTTTTATTACAGTGGAGCTTGGCGAGTAATTCATTTAGTGAATTCGAAATCCCTAAATTCAAGAAATGTTTGCCCATTCAACAGCAACTAAATTTAATTACTGGGTCAAGCGAAAATAGTAAAATATTAGGCAAATTTAAGCCAAAATAACTAAGAATGGGCTTGTATAAGATCATATTGCCTTATGCTGAGGAATTAAAAAAAAAACATTTAAAATATCGATTGACCATGACTTTATTGGTCACTTGACCGACTATCAATTGATAGTGCCAACCGTCGGCTCATAGAAAATAATGTCTAAAGATCCCTACATATTTGGAAAAACTTGATATATACCTCAAAATGTGGAGAGTTTGAGATTTTAACAACTTTGCAACACTGAACCATCTATATGTAAAATAACATATGTATTATATAAGGAAAGTTTGTTAGCTCGCTAAATATATTTTACAAGAATATATACTAAATATTTAAAACATGTGTTTATTAACATTACCATAACATAACATAATAAGATATATTTTGTAGTTTTAATCGGCAGTTGATTTTAACAACAAATTTACATAATGTTGAACTTACAGCACGTAAAAACATTTTGTTTGAGATATTGACACTAAAAGCGCCACTTTGTGAATTTCCGGAACTAAGCTAAAATGAAACCACTTGCTGAAACACTTAAAGCAGTTCAGCAAGAAGCGCAGACAATTGAACTGCTTGTGTTGTTTTAAAGCAGTTTTTTCAAATGTGAAATTCTTTTGAAAACCTATACTTTTTAGGTTATACATATAAAAAAAATAAAAAATAAAGTTAGCAATACAATCAAAGAAATTTCAAAAGGGTTAAGTTATTTAACAAACATATTTTTTACATTTTAAGCAATTGGAAACCACGAAAAACAGACTTAAATCAGACAGCGCTGGTCTCTTTGTCATCTGTCCACACATTGATGGAATTCTGTCCAATGGAAACCGAAGCATCTTGGACCCTTCAAATAAATTCATCAATTAAACATTAATTTATGCCGTGAAGCAAAGTTTTGCGGTCACATAAATCTGCGAGCGTTGTTTGCCTGGACCGCAATGGGCGGAGTTGGCCCAAACCCGTTGGGCTGCTGACCTCGGAGCCCGGGGACAAAATGATTGAGGCTCCGCCATGGGAAAATTCCATTTGCCATGCTCCGAGGATAAGACTGCCACCGAAATGTAAATGATGTTGAAACATTTATTGGTTACAGGGAGAACATTTCCACGCCGCGATAAGCGACAAACTGTTGACAGTTGGGATTGGGATCTGTAAGGGATATGCCCGGATTTATTTGCCGAGCTAGTTACGCGTGTATGTGTGCGGAAAAATAAAGCAGCGGGAAAACCTTTGCCTTTGGCTCATAATTCGCAGCTTCTCCACACACTGCCGGCCAGTCTTGGCCACCAGCTCCTCCAGCTCCTCCAGCTCCGCCTCCACCTCGCTGAAGCTCCTTCTCCACGTTATTCGCCTTTATATGGTTTCATTAAAAATGCAAATGAGCAGTGGAGATTGCAATCGTGGCAGGCGGCCAGGTGGGGTCAACAAAAAAGAAACAAAAAAAAAAGAAGGTAAAAAAAGGAAAAGCTCACACAAAGACCGAAACGCAGACGTGAAATTTATGCCAAGGGTTCAGGAACTGAAATTTATTGTTGCCATCGCGGTACATCGAATATAAATATAAATATATGAAACAGTTGATATTTCCTAAGTATAATTCAATTTTGTTTAATTTGGATTAAAAACCCGTTCAAAACAAAGTATGAAAAATGTTTATAAGCCAAATCACCTAGTTCTAGTCAATATGTACAACTAAAATGAGATATTTAAGGCCAAATTAATTTTCAATTTACAGTAGTTTTGTAGTTGGATCCAGGTTCTTCTTGTTATGTTTTTTCTTCGGGTTTTGTTTTATCCGTAAACATTTTTTCAAAAGGGTGTACCCGAAATTTTAAGATTTTTTTTTTTAAATTAACTTTGCTACATACTCTTTAAAACATTCACAAGGTCGATCCTTTTGGGACATCCTTCAAATGTAGTGATTTTGTCAGGAATAGTTGACAAATTCCTTAGTTTCTTTCATTTTTCATTACAGCCTTTTTTAATAAAGAAAATATATGCGACTGTTGATTAAATAAAAATATACGTTGTATAAGTTTTCATCACCTCTATGTTTTATACATATACATATATACAACACATTCAACAAACAAATTGTGATTGAACGTTAAGAATTTATAATATTATTTTCTTGGATTAGGTTAATTAATTAATTAATAATTATTTATTTATTATTACAACAAAAAGTATTTAATCAACAATCTGCTGTGTACCTGAAGTACAAAATTAAAAGCTAAAGTAAAATATGCACACATCTGCGAAAGTCTTTTTCAATAAAATTTAAATTAATAAATAAAATAAAAAAATAATTTTAAATAATAACAAAAATTTAATTCAGTTCATTACTTTATATTTAATATTTTGTCA